AAAATAATGTCAATGTACAAAACTGAAAAGCAGAGACAAATGATCTTTCTGGAGTCTCTCTAGTTGCAGTTATCTTTGGACAACAGAAAGCAGAAAAACTTGTGGTCTTTTTTTTTTTCTTAATGGATATCCTCCATTGAAGAACATTATCACAACAGTGATTTGGCAGTGGACGTGAGCTGAAGCTGAAAGGCTGGATGCTCAGGTGGTGTACAATCGCTTAGGTTCATGGACTTCAGTGGAGCTTCATTGCTTTACACTTATGATTGAATTCATAAGCCCTGACACCTTGTCTCCTGTTCTAACCACCAACATTAAATTTTCTCTCAAATAACATATTTAGGGGGTTATAAAAGAACTTCCACTATATTAAACAAATAGAAAATTAAAATCTTGGAAACTAACAGGTTTAAATCTCTGACTTACCCTAAATCACTGTTTGGGCAGTTTGTTTGGAGGAAACAATACGACATGAAACGAGGCCATGGTCTGTAAATAAAAACAGAGTTAGGGCATGTAACTAAGCCTTTCTTACTGTAAATCTCTGCTTTTGTTTTTAAAAGTAAATACGCAACACTAGACTCTTCTTATTTGCTGATCCTCCAGCATGGAGATGAAGGCTTACCTACTGCATTGTTTTTTTTCCAAACCAAGTCTGTCACATCCCATCAGTGCCGTCAGGTTCTTCCTGTGTCCTCATGCACTTGTGGGTCATCCCATCAGGGCCCATGCACTTCTAGATGTACAGTTTGCTTAAGTGATCCCTAACCCAATCCTACTCCATGAAGGAAGTCTTTCTTTCTCCAGACTTTCTGGTTTCTGGGGCCTGGGATTCCTGAGGTCTGGTCTTACCAGTAAAGACTGAGGCAAAGAAGGCATGCAGTACCTCATCCTTTTCTGTGCCCTGTGTCACCAGGGCCCCGACCCATTCATCAGCAGGCTCTCATTTCCCCTAGCCTTCTTTTTGTTACAGATGTCTTTAGAGAAGCCCTTCTTGTCCTTGACATCACTTGTCAGATTCAACTCCAAGTAGGATTTGGCCTTCCTAGCCCTATCTCTCCATGCTCCAACAATGTCCCTATCTTCCTCCCAGGTGACCTGTCCCTGCTTCCACCCTCTATATACTTCCTTCTTGGGTCTGAGTTTTGCCAGGAGCTGCTTGTTCATCCATGCAGGTCTCCTGCTCCCTTTTGCTCAACTTACTGCTCACTGGGATGAACCGTTCTGGAGCTTGTAGGAGGTGATCCTTGCATATCAACCAGCTTTCTTGGACCCTATGCTATGGCAGTTTCTAATGGCACAGCATACCCTTGAGCACCAATGAGGTGCAATCTCTTGTTCTGCCACACACATCTCAGCCACTTGGTTTAGGAGAGCAACTTGCAGCACTTTGGCACTTGAAGGACTTTGGCATCCACTTGAGAGCCAAGAATCAATGAAGTTTTAGAGAAAGACCATCCCTGCAAGTTTCACAGACATTTGGATTGGGACTCAGGTGCAGCCTGCACACATGGGTAGCTACATTTTGGTACCTGTATGCAAGCATTTACATGAGTCTGCTTATCTGCTGCGTAGTCTGCCATTGAGTCTCTCTGCAGACTCCTGGGATGGACCCAAGTCGAGGTGGGATTCAGCTGACTGGCAGTTGGAGTCTACAAGCCTATAGGTATCGCAGAGCACCTCAAGGAACTTTCAAAGGCATCACAAGTGGATGCCAGTCCTGGTGTACAGACAACTGAATCCTTCCCTAAACTCTTTTCTGACTATGATTGGAGCCGAGTTTGCAACTTCACATATTGATGCCACGTTTAGATACCTGGAGTGGAGGTTGCTCTAATCTGAGGCGGAGCACTGGGCTCACTGAGTGCAGAGGAAGTGTGAAACTCGGGGTCTGGGCCACCGTCTGGGCCCTGCTTCTGGAGCGGGCACAGGCCCTCCTGCTTGCCCCCTCCCAAGCTGGAGTCCTCCTGGGCCACCAGCTACAGGGCATGGGGCAGCCGTGCCAGGGAGACTCCCCTTTGTGCCCCCAGCCCC